GAGTCTCCCGCCTCTTTCTTCATTATACAGTCCCGCTTCTCATCCCACAGCCGATCTGTCTACCTAAATCTATCCACACAGTCAAGGTATAAGCAATGTGGCTCTCTGCTCTGGTATGCCACTGAGGTTTCATTGTGACGAACCTGGAAGATCGTTAGAGAGCGTTAGCAGATACGGGGGCATGGTTCAAACTTAAGGGAAACAAGGATAATTGAGATTCACTTTGCCTCTAAATCTGTGAGGTAAATAAGAGGAGCTTCAGAGACTTGGGGGCGGTGACTTGGTCTCGTTGGATATATTGAAATATTAAAGCGAGGTATTTTTTTTAATTTAAATATCCACTACCCTACCCCCCTTTCAAAACGTCCGATATTCACTTCCTTCCCCTTTCTACCCCAAAACAAATCTCCCACCCCATCACCCATCGCCCTCCAAAGATAAAACTCCCTTCTCATCTACATAAACTCACCAACATACTGGAAATCTTCTAACTGTATCAATGATAACAGTCTTACCAATGCAGGTCACACATCGATTTCTCTTTATTTCCATGAACTTGCGAAGGAGGAGAGTGGTTTCTTATTCAGTAGCATAGTGGAAAGTTTTTTTTGTCATTATTTGCATTTAGTTTTTGCCGTCTTATGTAGGTTTATAACTATTGTATAGTCTACTCGAGGATAGAGTAGAAGAAGGATGAGAGTGAACGTGAACACTGTGAAGGGGAGTATTGTAGTAAGTAGTAATACTCTAATTGGAGAACATATCGGAATGGGAAATATGACGAAGAGCAATGTAAGAATAACGGTGCGATATAGTCTATTGGGATATCGTCGTGTCCTTGAGTAGATGGTTGTTTGAAGTTTGATAGTTTGATGTGGGGATTGAGGGTGGTTGAATGATGAATAACCGAATCATCTGTTATGAGTAGTACAAATTTAGCAACTAGAACTTACTATATTTCCACGTGTACGGTCTAATGTGATACTAATACCGGTAGTATGCTCCAGATCTCTGGAACCCTTGCCAAATATGGAGATATGGAGATATATAAGATGTTGGAATTTGAGTCTGTGTTATTACAGCAAATAAGGGTATGGCTGGTCACGGCATCAAATGGGGATCATGAGGTTGTGAGATGAGATAGCAAATGGGTGGATGATTAGGGAATCAAGGAGGAATATGTGATCATGGTGGATTAGAGGGGATGAAAAGAGAGTAGTAGAAAAAGCAGTAAAAAATGATGAGAACAAGATGAGAACTGAAATATGAAAATTTGTGAAACGGTAATATCACCTATGAGAGACGATGAAAGAACCTATACTATGAAAACTTCAAATAATCATAAAAAGGACAAAATCCAATATCCTGGATATTACTTCCTTTATCTAATCCATCAAGACCGTGGGGAAAATGAATATATACATAATGAGTGATAGTAGTGTGCTATAACGGACTTTCTCTCCTTTCCCAAGACCGTTTGCGAGCTTGAAGATTCATGAAACTACATGAGAAGCTCTCCTTATAAGTACCGTATAGGATCATGGTGTTCCATTGAGACGAATGGCTTTTAAATTCTTTTAATGAACCAACTCTTTTACTACAACTTCTCTTACCCTATATTTCTGCACGCTGTTCGTATATAGACATGATCATCTAACACGCCAACCTCTTTACCTCCTCAAGCTCACTTCCTTACCCCTCTCTCGAAATCAGTTCCTAGCGATATTTTCTTCATCTCTTTCTTCCTTCTTCCTTTCCTTCCTTCAATACTTAATCCCTCCATTTCAAATCTCATAATTACTCTAGATATTATTCCTCGAATATTCAAATCACTACTCGAGTACAAAGAGATAGAATCAAGGAAAACGAATTAATTACTCTAAGATATCAATACATTATAGATCCTTTTATCTATAGAGTTTATTAGAACTAATAATAGTATATATTAAAGTTATAGAATTGGTCAGGAATGAGATGAGCAAGAAAAGATAGATAAAGATAAAATAATAACAAAACTCGATATAATAAATTTATTATTAACCTTATCCTAATCTCTAATACCAAATCCTAATCCTATCTAATCTTCTTAGATTTCAAGACACCTAATACGAAAATATTATATTTTGTATACGAGAATGAATGATAATGATACAAGCAGAGTACTACTGAGTATACCAATCGATAGATACACTGACCCAATTTTTTTTTTAAGAAATGAATAATGACTTCAATACGATATGATATGAATCACATTGTCAATCATGACGATAATCATGACGATATTCAATAAAAAAGATGAAAAGATTGAAGATTGCAATTGAAGATTTAAATTGAAGAGAAATAACTTCATCTCCTGCACCTAAAACATAGGACCCTGGATGGAGGCTGTGCTTACCGTATCGACAAATTGAGTGTTAATCGTTTTGTGTTATCAACACGGATACAACTGATAACACGGACTGGATAGAACTGGATGGATGGATGGACAACATGTGAGAAGTTACTGAGATTCCATGTGAAATGGAGCAGATGGATGTGTGACAGCCCTGTCGGGTGGTTGATGATGATGGTGATGTTGTTGATGTTTTTGATAGGGCTTAAATACTGTAGTAAGAGTACAGTAGGTATTTAGGTATAGGTATCTAGGTATATAATTTGTAAGTCATACTACCAGTATTATAATATACTACTCGAGTACACTGTAAGACCTTTTTTCGGAATATTCGGATTCGGGGTCTAATTGATTGAATAAGTGATATGAGATAAGAGAAGAGAAGAAGAGAAGAAGAGAAGGAAGGAAGGAAAGATAGACCTACACGATATTCTCTCTGTTACAACTTACAGTGTAGAGCATCACATGCAATTCTTATGAGATGAATGATGAAATTTAACAGATGAAATTTGGCAGGTGGATGAACTTGTGAAGAGAAGAGAAGAGTTCTCCCTCGTCTCTCGATGATCAATGGATTCTTAAAAGTTAACACATAAATAATTTCCTTGATTATCTTGATTAGGTATCTTGATGATATGACATGATATGATATGACATGACCATCCCATCCCATCCCATCCCATCCCATCCCATCCCATCCTCTTTCGCATTCGGAGATGCAGGTACAACAAGTCTATTCAAGAGTTATCGGTAATAGAAAACTTGGAAAAAACATGCAAACACACATAATACGTGGTATAATAAAGTAATGAGTGCATAAAAAATATGTAGCTAGTATATCACCCACCCATTCGGACATATTCCATTCATCATCACTTACGTTGCCAGCTCATGGCCATGGGAAGTTGGGAACTTGAGAAGGAGATGGGCGAAAATCATTGCTGGCTCTGGCTCTAGATTGGATTGGACCCCTGGTTTTAGTTTTTCCTTTATGCAGGGGAGATCACATCTAGAGCACTGTACCTTTTTTTTTTTTTTTTTTTTTTTTGGCTGCATATGATTTTGATTGGATAGAATATATGAAACGGAACAGGGAACATTTCTCATCTTTTCTTTCGTACCTGGGCTAAGCCTTTTGGTTTCAATCTGTTGTTAACTTGTTTATCCTATTGGATTAGAGTACTCGAGTAGCTTAAAGTAATTGACGGGACCGCTCCTTTGCTTAAGACTTAAGTGACTAGGAGTAGGAGAGAGTTTTCAGGGGTAGTTGCCTAATTGATAATTTTGATTAAATGTTGTGCTCGGGTTTATCTCTTGAAAGTTGCTGCTGAGCGAGCGGCCTGAGCCTTGCGAATGGGTTTCCTTTCTTGGCATTTTACTTTTCTCGTGGTGAGTGGAGTTGGTGGAGTCGGTGATGTAGAAAATGGAGAATAATGAGAGAATGATATGAAATCATGGGTGGAGAGTCGGGAAATAAAGATTGATGTGGGATGAGGGAATGATCAAGAAAATATTCTCTATTGAAGTTGGATTTGGTGTTTGATACGGTGTTTGATATGATATGTTTATATTTATATCAATGTTAATATTCATGTCGTGGTATTGAGGAATATGCTGAGCCTCTCATCTTCATTCCTAAATGGTTGTCAGATTCTCAAATTGTCTTACCTATATTAAGGTGTACAAGTTATGAATAATATTTCCCTCAATGCCAACTCATTCATGGAAACCAGTACAAGAATATAAACCTGTGACTGCGGTCTATTGATTGCTATTTCTAAATCCATATTTGAAAAAGGTAAGGAATAAGAATGAAAATCATAATTTAATTGGTTAAATTTCCTTGTCATCGATGATTGCATGCCATATGGAAAATAAAATGATATCCACTATTATTTTCTTAGTCAAACTCCACAAACTTCCCGGCCGCCCTGCCAAGTTCCCTCTTATGAATCCACTTTTTACTGGCCCGACCATAGCTCCCCTTCCTCCCTTCCCCTAGTCAGCCCACTCTTTTTTCATCTAATCCCTTGTGTTTTGATACCTTTTCATTAATTACACAACTTTTGGTGAATATCTTCCATAATCAGCATATATTTTTGATTGCCCTCCTCTTCTCACTCAAATCTTCTTCTTCATTCTTTTTAAAGATCTCAAAAATCTTATTAGTACGAGTCAATCCTTCACAATACTACAATCCACTCTTTTCTCTTCCTAAACACAGCCAGCCTGTTCAACTCATTTCACTGCAAGTCAGCTTGAAACCTTTTTAAAAGAAAGATCCATCTTCTCCCAGTCACAATCACAATCACTCATCACAGTCACCAAACAACCTTCTCTCAATCCCACATTCTTTACTTCAGCCTTACTCACCAACGAGAAATATCACCTTTTCTCACCACCTTCCTTTTGAAAACCAGTCACCACAACGGTCTAGATCGATATCAATCATTGAACTTGCAAGTCATATTCAATCTCACACTCCCTCGAGGCAACAAAGTTAAACAATTCCAAACTTGAGTTCTTGTTTAAGAAATTCAATCCAAGAAAACACACAATACACTATCTTTTTACGAAAATCAAAACAAACAAATAAACCACCGTCAACATGAAGTACACAACTGCCATTCTCTCTGGCCTCATGGCTGCTACCGTCGTAGCTCAACCCCACGTTCGTCATCAACATGCTGCCAGACATGAAAAGAGAGATATCGCTTGGGTTACAGAGCTCGAAATGGTTACCGAGACCGTCGAGTATACCACCACGGTTTGGGTTTCTTCTGGTCAATTAGCAGCTCCAAGCACCAGTGCTCCAGATGTTACCTCTACCACTTTGGCAACTAAACCAAAGTCATCTGCCGCTGCCTCTACTTCTATTCCCAAATCTACCGCCGCAGTCAGTAGTAGCTCAACCGATGGAGCTGTTCTTGACCAGAAGCCAAGCTCCTCAAGTTCCTCATATGTGGCTCCACCTTCTTCCACCTCTGTTTCTGTCGCTGTCCCATCTACAACCCATACTTCCGCAGTTATTGTTCCAACTACCTCTTCTACCTCCGCAGTTGTTATTCCAACAACTTCCTCTACTTCCGTAGCAGTAGTTGTCCCAACGACCTCCTCTACCTCCGTCGCAGTAGTTGCCCCAACCTCTACCATCATCCCAATTCCAGTTGTTGTCCCAACCACTTCCAGCCTCGCCGCCGTTGTCGTTGCATCCTCAATAGTCGCAGCTGTCGTCCCAGCAAGCACCGCCGCACCATCCTCTTCCTCCGCCACCACCTGTGGTGTCGGCTCTCCATGCACAGGAGATCTCACTTTCTACCAAGCCGGTCTTGGAGCTTGCGGAATCACTACTGATGGTTCCACCTTTGCAGGTGTTGCTCTCCCAGTCGGTCTCATGGGTTCCCTTTCAAACAGCAACCCATACTGTGGAAAGACCATCACCATCACGTGTACCTCGACTGGAAAAACTACCCAAGCAACTGTCATCGATAAGTGCATGGGCTGTTTGGGTAACTCCATCGATCTCACTAACTTCGCATTCGATCAACTTGCAGACGAAGCTGTCGGCCGTACTCAAGCTACCTGGCACTTCAACGAATAAATTACCCCACCCTTCTCTCTTTCGACTTTTCACATTTGATATTCTGGTTATTCACTATTTGGAATATCAAAACAAATCATTCTCATTCTCCTGAAAAAATCTATCGCCAGTTCGATATACAAAAAAGAGTCGATCTCTTTCATCCAAGTCTTTGCATATGACATCTTTTTGAGAAAGATAGTTAACGAATCTCTTTTGGGGATATCATATCGTTGGGGGGTTTTTTATTTATGTGGTCATACATTCGTTGGTTTTAGTTCGTTCGTTGGTTGATGTTTTTAACGAGTGTTTTGAGGAGGATACCTAGGTATACATGGAATGGTTATGGATATGGATATCAGATCATGACATGGCATTATTTGATTGGCGTTTTTCTGTTTTTGTTATTACCCCGCGCGGGACTTTTTACTTCACATTCACGTTCATATTCACATTCACATGGATACGGTTTTCAGTTGGAAAAGAGGATGGAGCATTGCCAGCATAGCATGTATATGCATTTCATGATACTGATACCAATTCGGAAATGGATTATGGATATCGAAGGATAAATAGGGACAAGATAAAAGCTTTCTTTCAACATGATATCATTGGGGGAATGATGCAGTGGGGGAGAAATTTCTATTTCTCATCAAAAAAATAGAGGACAATGAAAATGAAAATACATACATAAACAAAATGAAATGAAATGAAATAGAAATTGCTTCTTGTACATGTGTGTATAATATACCTCGAGATTTATGACCTTACCTGTGTGTTTTGACTTTTACCTTGACGTTAATACGAAATGCATGGGAATAGGTATACTCGAGTAGGTATGGGTATGAGTTTAAATATGACGTTTATAACTTTCTTAAGCTTGGCAATAATGAGTAACTAACGAGTAATGATTTCGATATCTCAACTAATGATCATGATAATGATAATGATAATGATAATGATAATGTGTTGTGATATAATGTACTGTACTGTGCTGTGATGTATTCGAGTATATTTAGTTTAGTTAGATAGGTGGGTGGATGGGTAGATGAATGGATGAAGGGTGAGTGAGTGAGTGGATGGATGGGTAGATGGATGGGTGAGTGAGTGAGTGAGTGGATGGATGGGCGATGATGGGCGATGATGATGATGATGATTAGAATAAGAATGGGTGGATGGGTGGATGGATGGATGGGTATGTAGATGGGTAGATAGATAGGTAGGTAGGGAGGGAGGTAGATGGGTAGATGGGTGGATGGGTAGGTAGGGAGGTAGATTATCTTAATTTGAATTTGGCATACTGCTCCTGGTGGACTGATTGGGTGGGTGGTTGAATGGGTGACTGAGTGATTGAATGGTTGAAGGAGGAGTGAGGGGGAGTGAGGGGGAAGGGGCTGTTGTGGATTGACTGGTTGATTGACTGGTTAATGGGCTAATTGGTCTCTGATTAATGGGTTAATTGAGACGGTCTGGTGAGTTAGTTGTGGTGAGTGAGGGGGAGGGAGGAGGGAAGGGGGGAAGAAGGGATAGGATGGGATGTGGATGAGGGAATGGATAAAGGGGATGGGGAGAGGGAATGGAGAGGAAGAGAGGAGAGGAGGAAGAGGGGAGGGAGATGGAGATGGAGATGGGATGTGGATGATAAGATTGAAATTGATTTGAGGATGAAGAAGATTGAGGGGAGAGGAGAGGTAGAAGGG